ATATAATATATATATAGTTATACATATATATATATGTATGTATATATATATACATAAACATACATACATGTATACATACATACATACATACATACACATATACATATATAATATATATATACATTATACATAAATACATATTTATATTCTTTTCTCTTTTTTTAAGTAACAGTCTATCAGATATGACATGAAAGTAATATCTGTAAAGAAAGCAACTGACTTCATACAAATATGTAAAGTAATATGAAATCACTTTTCTTGAAAAAATACAAAAGAGTATAAATACATACCTTCATCCAATTTGCAGATGATAGAGAAGTATCAGAATTATTGTCTGCAACAAAACCACTATCCAAACTATCCACACTTTCTGCTGCATCCTCTATATCATCATATTTCTTGTGGTGTTTCTTGCCTTTTCCCTTAGTCACTTCACTTACAGCAAATCCATTCTTTTTGGATAATCCATTTTTTAAAATGCCCTTTTTTACTTTCTTATTCACAGTTTTCTTGATATTCTTACTCTTGACTTCCATATTGCTATGTATGTCTTTAGATGCAAAGGTAACTCCTTTCTTTTGTGCTTTAGGCACCATGATTGCAGCTTTATGACAGTGGTCAGACTCTTGATAAGTCTTCAGTCGTTACTTTTAACACCTGAAAGTAAAAGAGAATAATTACATTCCAAAAAGAGTAGCTGTATAATTTAAGAGAACCCATATCTCCCTCACCAAATATGGCCTATCAAATGTTTATATTACTTGAATCAATAATGTAGCACTTATCAAATCATTTTTTAAAATTAAAAAGCTAGTTCAAATTATGACCAAGATATTTGGTTGACATGCTCCATGCTTTCTTTCTACCTTTTAAAACAGGTTTGTCCAACCTGTGGGCCACAGACCAATGAGCAGCATGCACATGGTCCTGTAAGTACAAGGTGATTGTAGGGTTTACTTTTTAAAATCTAAAAACCTTGAAAATTCACTAGTGCATACTACAATGACAATCTTAATTTTCTGTAATCAAGAAATCTAGCGACACTCATATGTTATATAAAAATGAAAAAAGAATATAAAAACACAAATAGAAAAAAAAGGATATAAAAACGTAAAAAGAAAAAAAGAAAATATATCAAACTTTCCAACTATAATTTTGTTATATAAGAGACAAGACATACAAATACAGTATTAACCTTGACATAAATTACGACACTTTTCATCTAAGGCATAAGGAGTGCAAATCAAAAACAAAGGAGATCAACATTCTTGATAAAACATAGATGAGGAATGTTTCGTTTTCAGTGTTATGTCGATTCCGGGTTCTTCATAAGACAATATTAAGGCTTGGCAGAAGAAACAGACCTTAGTAACTATCACAGCTTGATATGTGTGCCCTAAATTGCTGGAAAAAGTATAGAAACCAAGCCAAATTCCCTGATATGCTTCATGCCCTCCCTTGTTATCTGGCTGTAACACTTCAAGACTGTCGGCTGTGATTACTACAGAATTGCATCAGATTCGTTCTTGTCACACAAGACTGAATCTGAAGATATATTGTCTGGGAAGTCCTGATTGTAAGAAACGGTAAAATAACCAAAATGGATCACAAAAATATCAGTCCCTATGGATTCTTCTCCTCCTCTACTCTTTATATACAGAGGATTCATAATGGAAACGCCTTTCTTGTGTAGAGAATATTACATTTTTTCATATACGGAAAACATAATTTCTTCTACATTTGAGTGGACAGATATACTGACAGATCATGAAACAAGTGCATGGAAAGGTCAAAAGAATTTTATGCGCGGAAGATGATTTTAAAAAGAACTACCGAGAACTACATTTGTGCAGACAGAATCTGACCAGAATAGGGGAGGGCAAAACAGGTTTAAAATATAGAGGGAAATGAGATATATGTAATTAACTATATGAGGCGAGCTTACAATTTCTGTACTGCTAGAGCAATACTCCTGCAACCCCTCCTGAGGGCAAAGAGCTGTTACCATTTAACCTTAACATCACATCGTCCATATATCCACTACTGAGAGTTGAACCAGGGTGTTTACGTGAGAGTATATAAATTAACCAACTAGTGACGGTCCATTTGGAAGCCGATAATCCCAGTTTCCATGTGGTATCCAAGAACCAGCACTGATTTTGTTTCCTGTGGCTACAAAATCAGAGAGCAAGCTCCAACCTAGTGTCACACCAGTGGGACAACCAATAATGCAAGGGCTGTAGCCTGCTTTGATAAAAATATCTAAACTAGTAAACACATGCAGTATGTAAAATCATGATGGTGTATCACATTCTCTGCAATACTCAGGAGAGGTAATAACTGAGTCAGGAATGGAGAGAGATAGAAACCCTTGCAGAGATTACCAATATCTAGCACCAGGATATGATGCCAAATAGTGAGAATACAATGTGTTATATCATCTCTTTGAGTGAAGAGCAGTAGGGGTATGAGTGCCTTATTTGGAGTACGACGAATCACAGGGGATTCACTGATAATGACACCAGTTCTGACAGCCACCTTCCCATCTTAGGAAGATACACTTAAAGCGTTTTAAGCAGGGGAAGTTCTTGCCTGAAATCTCAAGCATTTTTCTTGCCAACTCAAGCATTTCACTTGCTTTCTCAAGCGACCTCCGTAGATGGCTTGACTTGCGCTTGCTAAGTCAAGCAGTGTACCGTCACCATGGCAATGGCGTCGGTCGCGTACCGTACTGGTCACGATCCTTTGAATCCGGCCGTTGGCCAGGAACTCCGCTTAATATCTTATCAGATGAATAATTATTTTCACGGTATCTGATTCTGTAATTATCTTAAAATCATATTCAAAGAAATTGAAATTTACTGAAAACAAAAGGAGATAATGGAAATTATGTGAATAAAAAGTTTGGTAATTGTTGAAGACCGCGACGCACCCTCGCACAGACTAAGTTGAAAAAAATGTTTTTCTGCATGAAATCCTATGATTTCATCGATTTTCGGCGTTGTTTCTTTTGCGAATGAATCATTCAGGAGATCGAGTACCATTTCTCCATCGACGATCTTGATTTGATAGTCCCGTTAGCAGGGGAGGGTATGAAGTATATCAGGGAAATTATGGGGTAAAACAAGCTTAAATAAGAAGAATAACGATCAAAAATGCGTAAAACTAGCACAAAAAGCGCTTAATATCGGCCAATGAAACTCTACGGATGTAACCGCCATCTTTGAAAGTTTACGGACTGACGCAAAATAAATCAAAAACTCTACGGGAACCCAACCCACATTTCGGCAAAAACTCTATGGGAATTCACACGTTCCAACCCCCAAAAACGTATTGACCAATAAACCAACCTAATATATCAATATAAATTGCCGTGACTAGGCGTGCCCTTCGGGCACTGCCTGAGGGGAGGGTTGATGGGGGGCAAGCCCCCTAACACCCCCCAGGACACATTCTCTCCACCACGGTATATACGGCAAGACAGAGCTGCATTCACACCGTAAAATAATAAACCAAATACCTTTATATCCTGAAACGTGAAACTTTCGTTTCTTTGTACTGTTGGTATTGCTTCGATTTTAATCACCTTTTTCGTCCTTTGGAGCTCTTGATGGGCTCAGATATAAAACTGGGATGGTTACTGAAGTCGAATTTTTCTTCGATGCCACTGTAAAGGTCTTAAAAAGAACCCAGAATCAACACAACACTGGAAACACAACATTTCTCACCGGCTTTCAATCTCGAAATGAGCGGGTTGGTGAGCTGTCAACCTGTGGCTGGCGCAAGAAAGTGTGAAACACTCGATGCACAGGATTCGATATGAGGGTATAGATAAATATAAAAATATGCAAATGAAGTATAATAACATTACTAAAAGACTTTAAAGGTATAAATGCGTACCAGCAGACACAGATAATTAGCCAAATATCGTTTTGACAAGCGCGTAATGATACACGGACTAGTTCGCAAATGCAAAAATGCGTTCGTGGGTCAGTGTCGTATTTTTCCTAGCAAGGTAAACAAGCTCATCGACTTTGAATTTGAAAGGCGGCCGCGCGTTATATTTTCGTCATTTAGCGGTGACTATAAGGCCGGTGCATCTTAAACTCTACGCTATCCCCTTCTATTTTTCCCGTTCTATAAGATGGCGGTGTCCATTTTCCTCTATCTACGCGCGTCGCGGTCTTCAACCTCTACCAAAAGTTTTACTTATGAATAATAAATGATTATAAGACGAATAATTTTCCTCTTATTGTTAAACAACTCATCTTTCTAAATCAAGAATATACCTGCTATTTTATGAAATAAAGAATATTTCAAGTGAAAAAGTCTGAGAAATTCTAGCAACATTCTTCTGTTGGCATTATATTCGATGATTTGTTATATTTAACCTCATAAAATCGGATATATGGGAATGGATAGGCCTATATTTTAATTCAGGGATATTCATTTGTTTTGATGACGCGTCAGAATGAAAGGGCTGTCAATCGGAAGTGTGTGTCATTGTTTTAGAGGCACTTTATATGGATATAGGAGAAAATATAGCACTTTGTTAAGATGTTTGGGTAAATCTATTTACTTCTCTGCCATCTTGATGCGGCGCTATCTTGTCAGTTGTTTTGAATTGCGCGCTCAAACTGTTACCAACTGCAGGTGAAATAAACTCCACCCTTGACTCGTGCATAAGTTATCTCTTTCCGAGATTGTTGGTGGGAATATTGCTTTTAAAACCCAAGTATGTATATTTCGTATGTTATTTTGATATTTCTATGCTCATCAAGGACTGTTATGATTTGTACTTTATAGAAAGATATTTCCACATGTGGTAATTGTTGAAGACCGCGACGCACCCTCGCAGAGACTAAGTCGAAAAAAAATGATGTTTTTTCTGCATGAAATCCTATGATTTCATCGATTTTCAGCGTTGTTTCTTTTGCGAATGAATCGTTCAGGAGATCGAGTACCACTTCTCCATCGACGATCTTGATTTGATAGTCCCGTTAGCAGGGGAGGGCATGAAGTATATCAGGGAAATTACGGGGTAAAACAAGCTTAAATAAGAAGAATAACGATCAAAAATGCGTAAAACTAGCACAAAAAGCGCTTAAAATCGGCCAATGAAACTCTACGGATGTAACCGCCATCTTTGAAAGTTTACGGACTGACGCGAAATAAATCAAAAACTCTACGGGAACCCAACCCACATTTCGGCAAAAAAAATCTACGGGAATTCACACGTTCCAACCCCCAAAAACGTATTGACCAATAAACCAACCAACCTAATATATCAATATAAATTGCCGTGACTAGGCGTGCCCTTCGGGCACTGCCCGAGGGGAGGGTTGATGGGGGGCAAGCCCCCTAACACCCCCCAGGACACATTCTCTCCACCACGGTATGTACGGCAAGACAGAGCTGCATTCACACCGTAAAATAATAAACCAAATACCTTTATATCCTGAAACGTGAAACTTTCGTTTCTTTGTACTGTTGGGATTGCTTCGATTTTAATCACCTTTTTCGTCCTTTGGAGCTCTTGATGGGCTCAGATATAAAACTAGGATGGTTACTGAAGTCGAATTATTCTTCGATGCCACTGTAAAGGTCTTAAAAAAAAACCCAGAATCAACACAACACTGGAAACGCAACATTTCTCACCGGCTTTCAATCTCGAAATGAGCGGGTTGGTGAGCTGTCAACCTGTGGCTGGCGCAAGAAAGTGTGAAACACTCGATGCACAGGATTCGATATGAGGGTATAGATAAATATTAAAATATGCAAATGAAGTATAATAACATTACTAAAAGACTTTAAAGGTATAAATGCGTACCAGCAGACACAGATAATTAGCCAAATATCGTTTTGACAAGCGCGTAATGATACACGGACTAGTTCGCGAACGCAAAAATGCGTTCGTGGGTCAGTGTCGTGTTTTTCCTAGCAAGGTAAACAAGCTCATCGACTTTGAATTTGAAAGGCGGCCGCGCGTTATATTTTCGTCATTTAGCGGTGACTATAAGGCCGATGCATCTTAAACTATACGCTATCCCCTTCTATTTTTCCCGCTCTATAAGATGGCGGTGTCCATTTTCCTCTATCTACGCGCGTCGCGGTCTTCAACCTATACCCCACATGTCTGCCTTGGAAAGCGTTTTAAGCAGGGAACGGTACAGCGCTTGGCAAGAATTCTTGCCAAGCGCTCCCCTGCTTACAATGCTTTTAATCTATTACCTGGCAAGATGTCCACATGTACTTAAAGTACCTGTAGTATGACTAATACTTTCCCTGCATGTCACAGTTTCACAGGAATCACTGGCACAGTCTCTTCCCACCCAACTACATCTGGTCCTTATGGACCAGATGTAGTTGGGCTTTACATCCTGCCACGAATATCTTGAGTGGTTTGTCATGGCAGGGATAAGACATTGCAGCTCACAGCTAAACAAGCCACAGGTTTCCCACAATTTTTCCTGTATACAGTTCCCTTTCCTATACATATTGTCTCAAAACTTTCAACATGTTTCACGTCTATATATATCAGGGGTAGGAAGTCAGAGGATTTTGCTTGAACCAATATCACTGAGATCCACAATGACAATGCATTCAAAACAATTACTTTGTGTGGTATTGGTCAAAATTCTGCCAGCCGCCTTTTAGACGAAAAATAACATATGCAAATGATAAAGCGAGTGATTCTAAGAAACTTTTCTTCTATGTACTTCCGTCGCAGCTCAAAACTAACGAAGTTATTGGACACATAAGTGTCCGTGAGCCCGTTATGAAGTACTATCTCAATATTTTAAAAATCGCCATCCGATATCCTTTCCTGTCTTTTGTAAACAAAACAATGATGCCGTTTCATTTTTGTACAATTATTCTAATCACCGAGATTCGTGCGTAGATAATGCCCACATAACGGTACACGAAGCAGATTTTGTGTCTGTATCAATATATATGACAATAGACCAGTAATACTCACATAATATTGAGTATTTACAATAACAAGTAAATTTCTTGTTCTGCGCAAACCGATGTGCCTCACCCATATTACGAGCAAAAGGGGCCTGAAGAAATGCGCGGGATTTTCAAAAACAAAAATGTTATCGCCTGAATTGCGAACGAAACATTTTGAAATATTTATTCGACACTACATGCGCGTGACATTGTCACGAAAGCCAATAGTATTACAGGAAATACTATTAACCAATCACGAGACACCGTGTGTGGAACAGGTATGTATAGTGGTAGAGTAAAGAATTAAGAATCGGCGATATTAAATGAATCGTGTGTCAAAGAGTAAGACAGGAACACCATGCTTAACTAGCAATTACTGGCAAGGTAGCGATTATACTGTATGATAAACGGCGACAAATCCTGGCCAATGAAAACTGAGGAAAATGACGTCAGTATTTCTTGACCAATCAGAACTCGCTATTTTCGGAAAGTGTGCACCGGACAAAAAAAAAACGTTCAGTGTCTGTCTGTCAACTGTGTGAGAAGGGTTTGGGTGTGAAATGTTGGAAAATATATAGCCGGCTGAAATGTTGATAAATCGCTATTTGCATTTTTCTGCAGAAAAACTACAACATCAACAATATTTGACTAAGTATACGGAGGTACGGCAATAGAAGGTTAGTAAGATTTAAATAGATTATAACGAGAACCGGCATATTACACACATTGCATATTGCACGAATATATATATACTCAAATA